AGACCTGAGTTCTAATGTGGCCTCAGACACTTACTAGTTATGTGACCCTAGGCAACTCACCTAACCCTGTTTGCCTCAGGTAAAATGAGCTGGAAAAGGAAATGGCAAACCACTCCAGTATCTTTGCCAGGAAAACCCCAGAAGGGGTCACAAAGAGTTGGACATGACTAAACAAGAGTTGGTGGGAAGGCTGGGGGCGAGGGCGGAGAGGCACATGGTCACATCTGGTTAGGGGAAAGTTGCTTTCATAGCAGCATGAAGGAGACACTGGAGTGGGCAGAGGCTGTAGGAGGCTGCTGTAACCACCTGGCTGAGCGGTGGGTGAGGAGTGGAGAGAAAGAGTCTGATGAAAGAGGTCGTGGAGGTGGAAATAGCCGCGTCTGGTACCTGCTTAGCTCTGTAAAGGGAAGAGTGAGCTCGTGATAGTACTGGACATGTGAATGTGAGGGAGCGGAGGATGAGGGCACCGTCAGCAGACACGGGGAGAGGGAAGGAAGGGTTCTTTCTGGAACGTGTGAATTTGAGACTTGGTGATGTCAGGAGAGAAGCGGGGGGAATCTCTTGATATGGGTGTCGTCTGGGGGGGCTGGTGAGGTTACCGAGCAAGGGAGAGGAGAAAAGGGCCTGGGACAGAACCTCAGGGATGTGTAGGGGGCACGATGCAGATGATGAGCGGTCAACAAACCAGGGCAGGAGTGGGTAGACAGGCAGGAGAACTGGGAGGAAAGCGTGTCCCGAAAGCCCACGAGGAGAGGATCCCCAAGGAGAACACGAGGTCCCCAGCGTCAGACGCCATGGCCGGCTCAAGAAGCATGAGGCCGGAGAAAAGACCGTCCCATCTGGGGACCGCGAGGGATCCTCGGGGGCTGTGGAGAGAGCGTCAGTGGAGTGATCAGTTTGCAGAGGGTTGAGGAGTGAGAGAAGCAGAGCTAGCCAGTGTAGACAGCTTTTCAAGCCGTTTAGCTGAGACAGGCATTATGGTTGCACATCATATAACCTAATACAGTTTCGGTGGGCCCCTGTCTTTGCTACAAACAAGGGGAATGTGTTTTTCAGCCATTTTTGAGAGATTTGACCCAATACTGGATTGCTTTTTTTTACATTTAGCACAAGATTACAAGCCTTGTAGCAATGTTAACATGATTTTAAATAAAAATCTAGAAAATCAGCTTATGGTGTTCATGAAGCGCTGGACTGCTAGAGCCCATAGCAATTTGGTTTTTCTAGTTGAAAAACTATGTAAGTTTTTTTTTTCCTAAGCATTAATAATACCATGCCTTTCTATTTGTGCCATGGATAACGTTTTGGCAATCTCAGTACATAAAGAAGGGTCAGTTCCGCTGGCTACAGGAGCAGAAGCTATGGGTGGGAGCTGAGATTAGCAGCAGAGGAAAGGAGCCCAGCCAAGAAGGCCCGGAGTCACTGAAACCAGGTTACAGAGAGGGGTGTAGAGCCCTCTCCTCGGACACTCTGACCCATGAGCCAGAGGCAGTAAGAAGTTGTGGGAAAAGCGATGGATTTAGACGTGGCCCCCATTGTCCAGCACGGTGCCTGGCATGGCAGTGCACGTCCTTAGTAAATGTGCACCGACTGATGAACCCTGGCTCTGCTAGTTAATGTTTGTGCGACTCTAGTCAGGTCACTTGACCTTTCCGGACCTCAGTTTCCCTATAAGGGCATTGGGTTAGGCAGCTTCTAAGGTCCCCATTTACATGTGGCTTGGTGAGAATCAGGAGGAAGGACCCGATGATCTGTGCAGCTTCGTTTTAGTCCTTTCATCCAACAGAAGATATTTTTCCTGTAAAAATTCCCAAATCAAGATGTAAATTTTGAGATCTTTTGCTGCCTTTCTTCAAGACTGGCCTGGAGGTGCCTCCTTTTCCAGGAAAACCCCACCCAGAGGACTCTGACTTGGAGCGGTTCCTGCCATCGGGTTCAGCCTGGACCTCGTCCACGATTATGCTTCTTGAGGCAGTAGTTAGGGGGAGGAAGCGCTCAGTGAAGCCCCCTCCTGTGTCAATGTGGATTTCCTTACACCCAGGGCTGATATTCACAGGGAGATTCCCAGAGGAGTGGATGAGATAGATGAAATGCAGAGGGAGGTTGGCTGCCACATGTATGGCAAAAGCGCCATGGTGCAGTGGATAAGAGAGCTGACTGAGGAGGGAGGATGACCTAGGCCCAAGGCTTGCCTCTTTGACCCTCGGCAAGCCCCCTCCCCCTCAGGACCCCCAGCTGCCTGAGACTGTCATGGATGAGTGGTTGGTCTGCAGAGCGGGGGGCCACAGTGCAGTTTCTCCACTCTGGCATGACTACAGGCCAAAAAACGAATGGACAAATGGGCTGGCAGGTGGGTGGTGGGAGGCTGACAGAGACAGCTTTGGGAGGCAAACGTGGCCCAATGTCCCTTTGCCCAGGACCCGGAGAGCAACCAGGATGGAAATCCGGCAAGGCTGAGTTTGTCGTCTGTCGTTGGCCAGCAGCCTCAGCATTTCCCCTCAAGTGAAGGCACTGCAGTCCATTCATGTGCTTGGAGTGATGTGTGTTCACATCTTCTGTTCTCTAAGTGGTTTTGTCAATCATATTTGGAGAGGAATTCATGGCCTTGATTTATGAGCCGGTGTTTGGGCTCCTTCTCATCCCCTGCCCAGGCTCACATCTGTCAGATGCTCAAAGGGTGACCTGACACTGATGCGGGCACTGAGGGCAGTGGGACCGGGGCCGGACACGGCCTCTCTGCAGGCTGTTTTCTGCTTCACCTTGAGGCAGAGAGAACCACGGTGCTGCAAGCCCCTTGTTCTCAGCGTTTTCCTCCTCCATGAGTGGAGAGGCTTTCTTCCTTCATGCTAACCCCTTTCCCTTCCTTTTCTAGGAAGCCATCATCTACATCCAGCCCCTCCCCCAGGCCTGGCCCTGCGTATCTCCCCTTGAAGGCTTCACTGCAGCCTTCCCCAGCAAGCCCCTGAGTATCTGCTGGGCACGGTGCTGGGCTCTCAGCTACTCAGGGCAGGACAGGGGACACCGAAGGCAGGGCGTGCAGAGCTCTCTCAAACACACATACACACACACACACACACACACACACACACACACACACACACACACACACACACACACTCATACATACATATGCCCATCACCAGCCTCCTGCGGTGATATCCTGACCTGGTTAACCAAAAGCCAGAGGGACGTCACTCACTTAGCAGAACATAGACTCTTCTCGGGGCAGCTAGGTGGCACAGTGGATAGAGCTCCAGCCCTGAAGTCAGGAGGACCTGATTTCAAATCTGGCCTCAGACCAAACACTTGACACTTAATAGCTGTGTGACCCTGGGCAAGTCACTTAACCCCAATGGCCTAAAAAAAAAAAAGAACATAGACTCTTCTCATCAAAAGAAACTTTGGCATTTCATCCCTCAAAAAACCATTAATCAGTCAGTCAGCAAACATTTGTTATTCTCTTCCTATGTGTGAGTCATTGTGCCAAGCACTGATGGTTGTGAGCTGAGCCTCGTAGGAAGCCAGGAGGTGGGGGTGAGGAGGGAGGGCATCCTAGGCATAGGGGACCGCCAGTGCAAAGGCGAGGAGGCAGGAAATGGAGTGTCTTGTGTGAGTACACCAGGAGGCCAGTGTCGCTAGGTGTGGAGTCCATGGAGGGTCTTGGAAAGCGAGGAGGGGTTTCACTCGGCCGATTCTAGGCCTCTGTCCGCTTTGTCTTCAGGACATTGTAGAGAAGCCGCAGTCACAAAGCTCTTAGCATCAGAAGGTTCTTCCGCTGTGATTGAAGCCTCTTTCAGAAATGGCACTCGAGGCATCCCCAGTACTGGCGGTCCATTCATTAGTGGGGCCTGTCCTCCGTTACTCAGTGAGTACACAGGTCCTTTAACCTGTCTCCCTAGGGCATGGTTTCCAAACTGCCTGTCCCTATGATGACTTCCTTCTGCCCCTCCTCTGGGTTATCTGAACAGAACCCACCTGTGGTAGCTTCAGGGAGCTCATCTGGGACTAGCTCCTGATGGCCCCCGACTATGAATCAGACCCCAGGATAGGAGGCAGCATGGTGTCGCGGCCTAGGAGCCCAGAGGCCTCGGCTTGAGGCCTGACTCCACTGCTTGCTCTCTGTGGGCCCTTACACAAGTCACTAACTTCCCCTGGGCCTTGGTTTCTGTACATCAGGGGAAACAGTGTTTGACATCTGTACTTCACGAAAGTAGCTTGTGTCATGAGCAGAGGGCTGGACCCGGGGACAGGAAGACCTGGGCGTGAGTGTGGTCTCTGACACACACACACAAGCAGCATGTAGTGAGCACCTCTGACTGCCCTAAGACTATGTAAGTGACAGAGGAATTACTCTGCCACACATCACGAGTTTTCTTCTACTGATTAGTATTATTAATGATAATAATAATTGGTAGCACTCCTGTAGTGCTTTAAATATTATCTCCTGTGATCCTGACAACTCTGGGAGGGACGTGCTACTATTATCCTCATTTTACAAATGAGGAAATGGAGGCAGACAAAGGTCAGGTGACTTGCTTAAGGTCACACAGCTTGCAAGTGTCTGTCGAATTTGAACTCAAGCCTTCCTGACTCCAGGCCAGTGCTCTGTGTACTGTACCACCTGCCTTCCTAAATCACAGATCCTGAGTTTTAAGACACCTATCTCTTGGGGTAATTGGGCGGAAATCACTTTGAAAAGGGTAAAGTATGATTTTTAAGACATGACCTTATTCTTGAGTCAAACTAAGGCAGCCAGGAAATCCTGCTGGTTTCAGGAATCAGAGAAGGGCTGTTGGTCAGTCCCACGCTGCTTAGTCAGGGAATACTGTGTTGCGGCTTCGAGCTCCTGGGTAACGTTGGGCTTCTAGTGCCCGATCTCAGGGCCTTCTGTCCAAGTACTCACCCTGGGTTTTGGGTTGTTTCTTTAGCCTTTGACCACTCCCTCAGGCCATAGTCAACGCTGCCTCAGTACAACGGTCCTCTGGCTTTTCTCTTTTCAGGGAAGGTATTTCCATGAACCAAGAGTTGCTCCAGGCAGCCCCTTGCATCACGGAGCAGTTCATTGAGTTGTTATGTCAATATAACCCTCACCAAGTGATTGACACTCTGCAAGTCCTTGAGTCCTACCGGCTTGAAGAGACCATTCAGGTAAGGCCCTGGCATGGTCTTTGGGCCGGGATCTGACATTTGGTTTTATTCTGGGCTGAAAGTAGGACGCAGTGATGACACTAAGGACATGCCATTGTCCCTGGGGACACTTGTGCCCTGGTCCCCAGCCTCGAGCTGGAAGTCAGGTACTCCTCCCCTTCTAGGGTAAGACTTGTGTGGGATTGGACTATTGACCATTCTCCACTCATTTCAGGTCTTTTAAGTAGAGATAATCTCATCACAGTGTATGAAAAAGAGATCCCAGGCTGTAGGAATAGGCTAGTAGGGGAGCAAAGCTCTCATTTTCCAATCTGCTAACTTTGTCATCATTTTCTTTGGTGCTAAGAGGGCGTCCTCAGCATAAAAAACTAAGAAAACTGAAATCTCCCCTTTTTAGATTACCCAGAAGTACCAGCTGCTTGAAGTGTGTGCCTACCTCTTAGAGAAGAAAGGGGATGTTCACGGTGCTTTCCTAATAATGCTTGAGGTGAGCTGACATCCTGAGAGAGTGAATCATATATTTTAAAATGAGTTTCACAAGCTGATTGAAAGATTCTCTGCCTCTGGCAGTCTTCAGATGGAACTGGTTCTCATCTCACTGGGGATAAGGTATGGGCCTACTTGGATTAGGAAGAAGGTGGATTCCAAGATTCCTTCCAGCTGTGGGGTTGTCAGGCTAAGCAGAGGGCCTTGTGGGCAGCCTCCATAGGCCCATGCTTCTGTAGTATTTCAGGAGTCCGGGGGCTTGTCAACCTTGCCCCCTACACCAACAGGGACTGGCCATCCTCTGGCCCTAGTGGTGATTGTGGCTGAAACCTTCATCACCCAGTGGCCATTGTGATGGTGACCTGCCTCACTGTGGCTACCAGGCTGGCCCTTGGGCGCACAGGAGGCAGACGGTCATCACGGTGACAATGCTGTACTTTGGATCTTCTTGTCGACTCTTCAGTGCCTTACTTCAGACACCAAAATGGCGTGCAAGGAGACCAAAAGGCGTCATTCAGGAGCTCATATACTCATCTGCCCACGCATGCTTCCCTAGGCCCACTTTTAACTGTAAGCCAAGGTCATGGTGATGGCTAGAGTCTCCATACGTGAGCACAAAGAGTGGGCCTTGGGCCCACCAAGGAAGCCGAATGGCTTCGACCAGAGGGTGTGGCAGAGTTTACCCAGCTATGGAGGTTCCTTGCTTTATAACTGTTTTTTCCATACACGTTTATCTTTTCTCTCATACCAGAAATCCTCGCTTTTATTTCCCAGGAATCACATACACACTCACACCCACACCTATAGCCACACCCACTCACACACACGCCCCACACACACCCACACACACCCACACACACCCCACACCCATACCCACACACACACACAAATTAACTTCCATCGTCTCATTGGGGAGGTACCTTAACCTCAGTACTGTGCTGAGCCAAATCACTTGGGAAATTAAAAGGAAATGTTAGGAATTTACCCTTAAGTGAGACCAGCATGAATTTAATGCATAGCTGTTGCAGGCCTGTGCTGGTGCTAATGGGAATGCAAAGATGAAGAAGGCGTGCCCCCTTCCCTTATAACCATTGATCAGCAAGCATCCATTAGCTGCCTGCTCCATGCTAGCCAATGAAACAAGATTCCGCCTTTCTTTCCTCCCTTCTCAGTCTCTCCCTTTGCCTCTGCACTCATTCTCCCTTAGGCTCTCTTCTTCCTGAAAAACTAAAGGGGTTATTTTCCTTTCCTTCTGAGCCTTTGAAATGATTAAGGCACATCACATATTTTCCTTTCTTTTCATCCTCCTCTCCCTGACTTCAATACACCCTCCCATTCTGTAATTTATTCTCACCACAAAAAAAAAAAAAAAACAACCCAAAAACAAAAACACACAACCCTGGGCAAATCGCTTAGTCTCTGCCTGCCTCAGTTTCTTCCCCTGTGAAATGGGGATAATCACAGCTCCTTCCCCCCAGGGTTGTTGTGAGGTAGTATTTGTAAAGCATTTAGCACAGTACCTGGTACACAGTAGGTGCTTAATAAATGCAGATTATGTCTCAGCCTTCCCCCAGGCTGGCTCATTCACAGTTCACCATCCTTGGTCTTTACCTCAAATGACTTCTGGGGGACAGAACTTTGGGTCTGTGGAGTGCTGCCGGCCTCACGCAGGTGTGTGTCCTGTCCCCTCTTCCTGTGCTCTTCTGTTCTCCAGGCGAGCTCTGCCATGGTCTGAGCACATTCCTGGTGTTCAGATCTCAGTGGCGGTAGGGAGAGGAGGGTCCGGGTAGGGGGTGGAGCTCTTATAGCCCTGCTCCACCTGGCCACGGAAGGGGGATGGGGGTCAGAGGTCAGGGGTCAGACGTTGGTCTTCTGCCCGTAGTTCAACAGCTTTCTACTTTGCTTGAGTGCTTGTGTCCCAGACCTTGCAGACAGCTGCTTCATAATTCCTGTTTTGGAGTCTGGGAGGTCATGAGAGTCAAAGACAATGTCTCGTCCTCCGTCCTGTGAGTCCTGTGACCCAGCAGTCTTGGTCACATTGATTTCCTTGACCTTCTCAGCCACACCATGCTATTGGCTCGTCCTGTGCTTGCTGCAGTCCACAAGCCCCCGGATTTGGGAGTGCTGTTCTCGCCAGCCAGGCCATCTCCATCCCGGGGTCCTGGGAAGTGTATCTTTGAACCCAAGCACAGTCCTTCACATTGATTCCTGTGGGACTTCACGTGATCAGATTTCACCCCAGGTCCCTGCCCGTCAAGGTCTTCCGGCATCCTGATCTTGTCCTTTGGCATGTTGGCTCTCCCTTCCAGCCGTGATGTTGAACAGCATGCCATCCGTGACTTTCGCTGATAAAACCATTAACAAGCAAAGACAGATGCAGCTCCCGGCGTGCTCCCCGGAGCCTCTCTTCCACCGAGGCCTGGTCTTGGGCTGCAGCCTCCCACCATTTCTGAACTCATTTCACAGCACTCTCATTAAGCCCACACCTGCCCGTCTTTTCCCCAGAACAGCGTGAGAGACTTTGTCGAATGCTTTACTGCGTCTAGATCAGCTCTTATTCGCAGCATTCCCTGCTCTACCTGGCTCAGAACCCTCTCTCATGGCATGTTGGAAAAGCAAATCATCTTCCAAAAAGACAGCATCCTTTACTGCAGCAGCCCTGCTGGCGCTTTGTGATCACTGCTTCCTTTTCAAGATATCCACCAGCCATCCCTTTAACCAATGTTCCAGAGGCTCGCCAGTGATCAGGCCAGCTTGGTGATGCCTACATTTGGCGGCCCGTGTCCTCTTCCTTTTTTGGGAATGTGGGAGTCTTGCAGAACCTCTCCCAGTTCTCCATGATGGATACAGGGACCCAGCACAAACACCAGCTGCTCTGATCAGGACCTGGAATGTCATTCAAACTAGCCAGTGCCTCAGTGTCATCCTCAGGGCCGTTTGTGCTCTTCCCATCCTGTTCCCTAGGTAGGGATCACTCCCTGTCTGCCATGTTTGCTGTGTCCTTCGTAGACCAGAGGTCATTCTTCAGAGTTGAGCAGCTCTGTCTTCTCTTCCTTATCCATCATTTTCCCTCCTCTGTGACCAGCCATTCTCTCCCTTCCAAAAATCTTCTTTTTCACAGTGAAATGTGCTTTTTTACTTGTTTTTAAAAAAGCTAAAAAAAAACCCCAACCTTCCAGAGCCATATGTCAGCCATAGGCACTATCCCCCCAAGTCTAGGATACCTCCAAGTAGATCTGCAAAGCCACCAGCAAATATGTGATTACTGGCCCTTGTATACTCAGTGTTCATCAGCTCTCTCTGGAGGTGGACAGCATTCTCCATCATGAGTCCTTCGGAATTGTCTTGGATCATTGTGTGGCTGAGAAGAGCTAAGTCATTCCCAGCTGTTTGTCATGCAGCGTGGCTGTTGCTGTGTACAGTGTTCTCCTGGTTCTGCTCACTTCGCTTTGCATCAGTTCGTGTAAGTCTTTGCAGGGTTTTCTGAGTGCATCCCGCTCGTCATTTCTTCTGGCACAGTAGTATTCCGTCACAATCATACACCACAGCTTGTTGGCCCTCTCAAAGGACTGTTCCACACATCCGTTTCACAAACAGGTGCAGAAGGTGGAGGCCAAGACAGCACTGAGGACGCATAGCGGAGTTTGCTCATCTAATCCCTCTTCCTCTCTTCAGTCTCCTGCAACAGCTCCTTTTCCTCGTCCTCACAGGTGGTTTCTCTTTGTGCCTTCAGAATTCTATTCTTGAGGAATTCGCCTCTCTCCTTGGCTTACTTCACCCCATACAATTTTAGTTTATAATATCCTGCTTGAAGCTTTTGAAAAATGGTCTCCCAGAATCTAGGTGCACATCAGATGAAGAGAAGCAGTGTTGGACAGTGGCTAGAGGGCTGGGACTGCAGTCAGAAGGCTCTGGGTGCAAATCTCACCTCTAACCCGGTGTGACCCTGGCCACTCAGTGAGCATCTCTGAGCCTCAGGTAGGCCTTACAGCTTATCCACCAAGGAAATCATAGCCAGGCTGTGACCTGCATAGATGCTGAAGTCCTGGGTACTGGATATATTGCTGTATATCAGACAATACCTGGCTTTATGTCAGATAATTCTCTGCCATAAACTCTGTGATGGAATGGTCACCGTCCCCCAAGGTTCCTGTCCTTTCTATCCCGGCAGTCAGCTCTTCTACGCTAAGGAAATTCAGATCCAGAACAGGAGGTCCCCCTGTCTGCTGCTTCCACCTTTTGAAGGATGAAGGGATCATTAAGGCAAGTCAGGAGCGTGTGAGTTCATCTGCTTTTGGCTGAAAGAGAATTCACGCAGCTATCTGGATAATGAGCCTGCTTCTTCACTGTGGTGTCACGTCCTCATGCCAGGCTTGTGATCTGTGTCCCAAACTCAGCCTCTTTCTTTCTTCTGGCCAGGCGATCTGAACATGGCCACATAGTTCAGCAACCATACCTGAGTGGGCTCCACCCTGCTTCCCCTCTTGGCTTCCCAAGTGCCCCTCCATCATGCCCGGTGCTGCTCTGGCCTCTTCCTTTGGAAGAGGAGATGCCCTTCCAGAGCCGCAGGCCACATCATCCCACAAAGTCTGGGTTACCTCTGAGTAGATTTGCAAAACTGCCAGCAGTTGCTGGTCCTCATGCACCCCAGCTCTGGTCAGAAGCCCCTCATTCCTGTACCTTAGGTCGTGTTCCAGAAATCCCATCCTCAGGCCCCACCTTCTTCCACAGCCATTCACTACTCCAGTACCCAGGACTTCAGTGTCTATGCAGGTCACAGCCTGGCTATGATTTCCTTGGTGGATAAACTGTAAGGCTTACCTGAGGCTCAGAGATGAGGGCCTTTCTTTTCTCAAGCCCTTGCCTTCTGTTGTCAGCAATGATGAAAATATCACTGTGCCCCCAAGGTCATTGGTATCATCTGTGGCAGCGCTTTCTAGATTCCTTCAGGCAATATTGTCTTTGCTGACATGAATTAGCAACCATCAGATGTGACAGGTGTTGGAAGGTGCTCTGCCCCATCCTGGCCATGTGCCCTGGGAGGGCAGTAGCCCTCCCTTGTTATCGGGTACCATTTAGCTTGGAGGCACCAGCTTCCACTTCTCTTCCTCTGGCCTTTCTCACTGGATGGACCTTGTGCAATCCCATCATCATTTTTTTAAAATAAATTGATTATTTATTTAGTTTTAGCTTTCTTTTTATTTTTAAACTTTGAGTTCTGAATTCTCTCCTTCATTCCTGCAAGTATGGTGGGAAGACCTATATGAACAGATGCAAAGTGCAGTGAGTGAAACCAGGAGATCATTGTGCACGGTAATCACAACATTGTAACATTGATCAACTGTGCAAGACTTAGCTACTGTGACCAAGACTGATCCGAGACAACGCCAAAGGACTCATGATGAAAAGTGCTCTCCACCTCCAGAAAAACAACTGATGAACTCTGAGTGCAGAGCAAAGCATTTTTTTTTTGCTTTTATTTTTTGCAACATGGCTAATATGGAAATGTTTTGTGTGCCTTCGTATGCATAATGGATTTCGTGTTGCTTGCCAATGGGTGGGAATGGGGTAAGGGGAGAGAATTTTTAAGTCAAAATAAATTTTTTTAAAAAGAAATAAAGTGTTTGGGAGACAAGAAATATGAACTATTTCCTTTATCCCCCAGAGACTACAAAGCAGGCTCCAGGAGTTTACAAAGGAAAGTGAAAGTAAGTTTTTGATCACTGGTTTTTGATTCTGTAATCGCCAGCTTCGTCTTAGCTTACCTCCGCCCATTAGCCCATCCATCTTTCCCCTTCCTCCCAGGATACCTTATTGATTACACTTTCGTCCTTCTCTGACCTTTGGCATATCAGTTAATAAGTTTCTTGAAGACGGGGAACCCTGTTTCCTGGAACACAGGAAATCCTTGTTGAAGGCAGTATCCCTGATTGACCCACAAGATCACATCTGTTGCGTTTATCAGCATCTTTTTTAGAGTAATCAGGGTTCAAACACAAGCTTCACAAAGAGTAGACCTGGTAGATTTGTGGGAAATGCTACAAGAGCCATTTCCCCCAGTCGCCCCAGCAGTCCAGGGTTGTTTCTCCAGCCACGCCGTCCAGGGAGGAGCCAGTTACCACATAACTGTATGTTTGCCGTCTCCTCCTGTGTTCATGATGGTGAGAGTAGGGACAGGCATCTTTGAGGGAGCAGAAGCATTGGAAGTGGGCACCCAGGGTGTAAGACTGCTCCAGTGTGCTGTTCTCTGCTGGCCTGTGAGCACACTGGAGCTGGTGCCCACCCCCCAAGGACCCACCGGTGGGCTTGTGGTTCAGGTGATGGCTTTGGGACTGTGCACTGAGATGGGTTCAGCCTTTCTCGGTTTGTTTTCCATAGGCTAAGAGAATTGCATTCCCTGACCACATGTAACCTAACAGTAGAGGAGGGCCCCAGAAGCTTGGCAAAGGGCACGGGGAGGCTAGGTAGCCTGAGACAAAGTTTGATTTGCTAATCTGTCGGGTGGCTCATCCACCCTCTGGAAAAATGAGGGTCTGCTGTCTCTGAGTTAGAGACCAAGCCACGGCTTCAGTTCTCCAAGATGACATGGTGGGCTTTGCATGGAATATCATTAAGTCTGTTCTATTATTTTATTATTCCATGGACCTTCCTGTCACTTATTCATTACTGTGCCTAAGGGTCCCAGTTCATAGATGGCATATTGCAAAGACCTGAAGTTGGGCAAAGAATACAGATTTCGTTTCCTCCAATGGTGTGGAAGGGAGGAGTATGACCTTCCTGTGAGATGTTCCATCTTTTTTTTTTTTAAATCTAGATGTGAGAGAGGCTGCCTCATTCAAGGATGTGGAAGAGATCTTGGTAGAGACAATCGCCCTCTGCCAAAGGAATTCACAGAGTTTAAACCAGCAACAGCGAGAGGTAAGAGGGCGCCTCACCAGTCCCCAGGGCTGTCGCAAGCTTTTCAGGTTTGGAAAGAGGAATTAATTCTTTTTACATTGCCCTCTCAGCCACCTGAGTCTAATTAAATTGGATTTTAATCACTGTTGAGTGCTCCCAGGAGTAACAGATTCCTGACATTATTACCATGAGTGCTCGGCCTCTTTGTTCATGCAGAAGGCTTCAAACCCCTTGAGTCACCCTCCATGCTGAATTGGGAAAGCTAGCCCACTTGCCCAGGGCTGAATTTCTCAGAGTCTCCCATAGAGGAAGGACGCAGAAATGTCAGCTGCTCCAGTCCCGCCGTAGAAATGGAAATAAGGCCCCAGAAGCAGCACCAAGGAGTTTGTGGGACCCTGGGATCAAGAGGGGCCGCACAGGGTCGCTGACTCCCAGAAGGAGACGGGAATGCATGAAGTGCCTCTCTGGTGGGCGCAGCTGGAGAAATGCAGCTGGACAAGTGAAGGAGAGAGGCGCTTCCCCGTGGAGCCGGGTTGCTGGGCGCTTAGGCTCCTCCAGAGCCCCAGCCCCCTGCCCTTTGCTCCTTTTTCCTGCCCGATGCTCTGGCTGCCCACCATGGGCTGGACCAGGGGGCGGCAAACAACGGCCTGAGCGCCAAATCTGGCCACTGCCCCCATAAGAAAACAACAGCTAAAGGTCTTAGCTTGGGGGCCACACAGAAATCAGAGTGGGGCTGAATGGGGCTGACCCCAGACTAGATCATTCTGGCTTCCAGCCTGCTGCCAGTGGTGACGATGATGATGGTAGCTGGCATTTCTTGGATGCCTTGAGGTTGGCAAAGTGCTTTATAATTATTATCTCATTTGATTCTCATGACAACCCTGTGAGGTAGATGCTGTCATCATCTCCATTTTACAATTGAGGAAACTGAAGCAATCAGAGGTTTAGTGACTTGCCAAGAGTCACAGAGCTATTGTCTGAAGCTGGATTTGAACTCGGGTCTTTTCCAACTATGCTCCAGCCCTCTACCCACTGCTCCAACCCCACTCCCACCTGCCTAGAAATGAAAGAAAAACAGAGGTTCCACGACAAACGTTTTAAATCACACAGAATTCTCCCTGGGATGGGGGTATAATTTCTCAGCTACATTTTTGCCAACAGTGATTTTTCCAAGGTAGTAAATGGGGAAAAACCTTGTAAGCAGGGCCTAAGGCCCGAGGGGTTTGTGGAATGGGTGCCAGGAGCTGAAACCAGTTTTCTTATTTATTTATCGGATATTATATTGAAGTGTTCAGCTAGACACTAGGATAAGCCCATCTTGTGCCACAGTCATACAAAAAGATTGGCCTGTTAAGATGCTCTGTGACCCCATTTGGGGTTTTCTTGGCAGTGATAATGGAGTGGTTTGCCGTTTCCTTCTCTATCTCATTTTACAGATGAGGAAACTGAAGCAAACAGGTGAAGTGACTTGCCCAGGGTCACACAGCTAGTCAGTGTCTGAGGCTGGATTTGAACTCGGGGAGAGGAGTCTTCCTGACTCTAGGCCTGGCACTATCCACTGCATCTCTAGCTGCCCACTGAGCCGCCTCGCTGTCTCTAAAGACCCAGAAAGCTCAGCAACAATGCCCTGAACTCTGTAAATAATCTCAGCAGGAGTAAACTAGGTAATGAGGCCACAAATAAAACCTTGGATCCTCTTCAGTTCTCTTCAGTTCAACACAATTTAGGGCCTAAAAGTCTTAAAGGTAAACAAATGTGCATTGCCCAAGACAAAGCCTGGCTCTGAGTGACTGCTTGGAAAGGTGGAGTAACTGAAGAACTGGAAGGACCCCTAGGCCTGGGGATGCCAGATCGTCCCATGAACCAAAGCCAGCTTCCCCTCCCTGCCCTGAAGAGAGGGCTTGAGGCCATCCATGCCGCCCCACTTACTCTCTCTGTTGCCTTTGTCCCTGCCCTCCCTCCTCATTCTCCAAGCCTTTTAAACCAGTGGGTGTAAACGTGCCACTTAAAGGCATATCATTTAATCCTCGTGTTACCTTTCAAAGATATGAAGGCGGCTAATGTGGGTTTGACGTGCCTGTGTGGAGGAAGTAAATCCAAGTTCATTTTCTTTTATTTAGTAAGGGAGTAGGTCCAGCCTCACCTGTGACTCGTTAACATAAGAATGATAATACCCTTTTCCAAAATTAAAACAGATTTTTAGAACTCCTCTGATAACAATACCTAACTTGAAACTCATGGAAAAGTCCCATCACTTTATCTTCCTCCCATGTCTCCACCCCTCCTCCACCTTCTCTGGCCTTTACTACATTTCATCCAGCTGCTCTTCTACATCGGTCCACCATCGCTCTCCATCACACCCATGAAGTGGGAGTGAGGCAGGCCTTGGTAGACTCATGTGACAGGTTTCCTTCCCAGTGGCTGGGAGCAGTGATTGTTCAGAAGAATGACAAACGTGCCTAAGGCGAGGACATGAGCTGAGCACAAAATGTTCGTCTGGGCTGTCCAGGCAGCCGCTGTCCCTTTTCAGAGGTACTCCTGGTTCTCTGTCTGAAGCAGGCAGAGGAGCCTCCTTTAGCCTTCCCTTCTTGGTCTTTGTCTGTTAAGGAATAGGAGTGTGACATGGCAGAAGAGAGGATTGCTTTTGTGATTAAAAAAAAAAGGAATACTTTGGATTCCAAAACATTAGCAAGTGCACATCTGTCGTCCTTTGACCACTCCCTGGCCCGTCCTTCTGACAGCTCCTTGGGCTGTCCTCGCCTTACGCACATTTGTCCTTCTAAACGCTCACTAGCCCTTCCTCGACTTAGGCACGTTTGTCATCCTTCTGAACATTGCCTGTTCCGTCCTTCTGACTGTTCACTGGCCAGTCATCGCATTCAGCATTTTCCTAATGCTTCCTTTTTCTGTGCTCTCAGGCTCAGTTTCTCTTGCACCAGTCTCATCAGGAGAGTTTGTAGCATCATTGTTGCCCATATTTAGGGCATTTGTTGGCTTCAGTTTGTTTCAAAAGCAAGAACTTTCACCATTAGAAACATACGTTCAGTTTTCATCCCACACCCTTACTTACTGCCTACTTTCACATTATGCCATTTAACCTTTATGGGCCTCACTTTCCCATTTTTTTCCAAAACACGAAAGGATCAGATAGGTGGTTTCTAAGGTCTGTTTTAGCTATAGATTCTATAATCAGTGTCCTTATAAACGTGAGATATCCATGCATTTACTATCTAGGTTTGTGTAAACCAAAACTAATAGGAAAATGACCCCATAACATTGGAATGTGTCTTTTTTGAAGTTTTTGTAATGGAGGAGGGCTGAGGAGAGCCTCTAATGGCAACCTCCTCAATAGCACCGGGCCTTATTCTCCTTTGGCTTGATTTTTCTCGTAGGCTCTCTGGTTTCCACTGTTGGAGGCGATGATGGCCCCTCAGAAGCTGTCCAGCTCGTCCGCTCCACCTCGACATGCAGAATGTAAGGCCATTGGGCCCCCATTCAGAAATCTGAGTCATCATCAAGCATTTGCTCAGACATTGGCTCCACCGCCCCTCCTCTCCTTTTGTCTTTTCCCCCCAGTAACATGGTGGTTGTTTGCTTTGAGCCGTGATGGCATTGTGAAATGTCACTGCACGTAGCTGGTCGATATTGTCTCTTTTCATGAGCTGAGTCTGTGTCTAGCCCTAGAGATGAGCCTACCTCTGGGCATCTCTCCAGAAGAGTGACAAGTTTAGCAGGAAAGCCGCTGTTTCCGCGTGCTAATCATCCTTCTCTGTACCGCTCTCTCACCATTGCAGCTCTGAAGTCTCTGACCATGCAGGTGCTGAACAGCATGGCGGCCTTCATCGCTCTGCCATCCATCTTGCAGCGAATCCTGCAAGTGAGTACTGGGAAGGGAGGAAGGACTTCGGGAGCCCGCATTGCCAAGGCTGGTGTCCGGCAGTAGATGGAGCCTCTGGCGAGCATTTGGTGCTTCTGGTTATGTGTCATGTGCGCTGATGCCTGAGGTTTGCGTTCTCACCCCTGGTCCTCGCCAGGCTGGGGAAAGGCTTCCCACCTTGGGTTACCAACGGCTCCCCTCTCCAGGCATTCCACTGAGTAAGAGAAGGCGTTTATTGTGGTGCTCACTGAATTATGCTCTTTTACTTAGAAAAATAAAACTATTAAAACAAGTACATAAACATGTACTAATAGCTAATTCTGCTTAAGAGGAAGTCACAAGGTGGTGAGAACAAGAAAGTCTGGCATCTCAGAAGCCAGAGGAGGAGAAGAGAGACCCCAGAAAGAAGGGCTTAGGGCCAAGTACAGCAGTCACCCCCCACCCCTCACACACTCCGAGAAAGGGAATTTCAGGAGCCTTGAAGTTTCACAGGAAGGAAATTGTCAGAAGCCTCTGAGAGATCATTTTCACTGGGTGGTGGGAAAGGGAGCTAAGGTACAGGGGATTTAGTAAAAGGAGGTGGAGGCGCCATCTGAGCAGGCATTTCCCTCCTTTCAGTGAAAGCAAAGCCGTGCCCACCCTGGGCAGATCTGAGCATACATGGAGGCAGGAGGCTATGTCAAAGGAGCCGTGTTTGAGGGTCTGGAAGAGGCAGGGTCAGGGGGTTAACACAGATGGGGAGGGTAGAGCTGCCTCGGTCTCTGCAGCTGAAACTAAGGACCAGAGAGAGATGGAGAGGCAGAGGCTCATGGGCGGGACCTGAGATGCAGGAACGTAGCATGGCCCCCACAATAGGCACAGAGTAGGACTGGAGCCTCGAAGAGACAAGAGATGGTCTAGGCCAGCCCCAGAGAATCAACAGGAGAGGGCGTGCCGTAGGGCCGGTGGAGGGGGATCACATGCACTTGAAGCTGGCCAAAGTGATCCAAAGTCCCATATGTTCACCTGGGGGGTTCTGTAGTACGGCCCTGGGGGGCCAGGTGGGCAAGCTTAGGGATTGGCACAGCAGGAAGTCAAAGGGGCAGCAGAGTCTGGCAGTCCCTGTGAGCCTAGCCCACAGACCCTGCGTGAGAGGGGGAGTCACTGGACTGGGTCTGCCACAGAGAGGTGAAGGACATGAAGAGTAGGCCCTGGGAATCACGAGAGTGAAGGAAATGATAAGGAAGGAGGCCTGAGGGCAGCCCCAGGTTAGCCCTCTGGACTGGAGCAGGGACCGCCCTGCTGGAGATGAGGTCAGCAATGGGGGCTTGCTGGGGGAGGCAGGCAGTGTCAAGGAGGTGCGGTCAGGGCCTTCATGTACTGTCCACAAAGGGGCTGAAAGCAGCAGGGATGAAGGGACAGAGAGGAAGAGAGTGAGCAGGTGCAGGAAGTGACGTCTGCGTGATGGTTGAAATGGGCCTTGGCTGGTGCTAACAGCAGCAGTGATGGAGTTAGGGGTTAATGAAAGATGCCCATCCCTTCCCTCAAGAAGCTCCCATTGTGTGGAGGGGGAGGAATGTGAAGTGAATATAGATAAGCACAGTCCCAGGTAGGGGGTGATGGGGGCAAGGGAGACATCTGGACAAGGGCTTTCTCAGTATTTGGGAAAGAAGGGCATCATTTCAGGGAGCGTTACAAAGAGGAGGTCACCCTGAGCCTTGAAGAGAGAGGCCAAGATGAGCAGGGCAGGTGTCCCCCTCGAAAGTGAGGCGTCTTGGACCCGGCAGCAGACTCCTGACTTTGTCCGCGTCTGACGTGGTGCTGGAAAGGGGAAGGCCCCCTCCCTCTCCCACCACCAGGCGAGTGGAAGAGGCCGGCCTGGCTGCACAGGGGAAAGAGCAGGAGAGATGCCAGCCTGGGGCAAGAGAGCCACGGTGTCCCTGTTGGCCCAGAGAGGTTGGGCCTGGCCGTGTGGCATCACGCTTCTGCAGGGCGTGGAGCGAGGGCCTGGGAGGAGGGAAGGGAAACGAACCCCAATGAAAGGGTCGAGGGCCTCGGTTTGGGTGGACGTGGCTTTGGAGAGCAGGGACCAGGGGAGCTGGCACAAGAGGACAAGGATGGCGGACAGCTCGATGGAGGAGCAGGCCGCCGGAGAATCACAGACCAGGGGGAGTCGCGGGAGCGAGAGCGGGGAGGAGACACACAGCGTCGCAGGCGACTGTCTTCTCTCGTCCCTCTGCTGACGCAGCTCCGAGGCCTCCTGGGGCCGTGGGGAAGGAGGAGGGTGTGCAGGGTGGGGCTTGGGGGGCAGCAGCGAAGAGGAGAAGGCCCAAGGGCTTCCTCTCCTCCTCCCCGACCCACTGAGGCCACTCAGTCTAGACACATCCAGTTTTATCCTGGAGCTCTGTGTCTGGAGTCATCTTCATTTCCTGCTCTTGTGAATATTCAGATTCCAACAAAAAGCCTTTTCTGCCTTGGGAAGTCTTCTGGCGTTCCTAGTGTAGGAAGGAAGGCAGGTGCCTGACTCCCTGGGGCGCCGCAGAGGCCACCGTCTGCACTGACACTAATGCACGATGGCTGAGGGTTCAAATGTGACCATGAACTGTGCCTGAGACCAGATGGATAAGCAGCAGGAAGAACACTTGTCAGTCCTTTTGGAAGTTTGTCGTTGGTCAGTCCTTAATAGTCGTGTCTGAGTCTCCGTGACCCCATTTGGGGCTTTCTTGGCAAAGATACTGGAGTGTTTCGCCATTGCCTTCTCTGGCTCATTTTACAGATGAGGAAACTGAGGCAAACAGGGTTCAGTGACTTGCCCAGGTCACCTAGCTACTAAGTGAGGCAGGATTTGAACCCAGGTCTTCCTGACTCTAGGCCCTGCACTCTAGCCACTGAGCTACCTAGCTGCCTGTCTTTTGCAGGACTCCTTTTCGAAAGGCCCTTTCTGTGCCAGGGGAGGGCACTTTCCGTAGCTGACAAACACGCAGTCTCCTCCCTGCTCAGGATTCTGTCCGACATCTTAGGGCCAGAATTGAGCACCCACTGAGCTGGAAGCCTGGAGTGCCCTGCTGCCGTCTATAATTTATGTGTTGTCCCAGCAGGAGGCCCTTTTCCTGATGTTGCCTTTCAGTTATGTATACCGAAGTGGGGTATCCCGACAGATATAGAAATGACCTACAGAGACGTCTCCCTGCTTCCTGAAGTTAACCTCAGAAATGCTCTCTTTTCTGTACTCCCCAGATTGCCCAAGCTTTGCTTCTGTGCTAAATAGATGAAGACTTGTTGATGCTGTGTTTAGGGGTTTCTCACATTCTGTGCTAGTTGTTGAGGCTTTGCCAGAAGACCAGATTTGTTTGTAAAGGCATTCATTGGACAGACAGAAGCGTGCTTGGCTCTCAGTTATCTGAAGGAGTGCTTCTTCCAAGTGGAGGCTGTGGCTTGACCCTCAGAAGATGGGTCATAGCCTGCTGTGCCTTTGGGAGCCAGGTGGGGGGCTTGTCTCCAACGCAGCCCCGCCTGCCCTTCTCCTCCTTCGTGCACACTTCCCACCTCTCCCTTCGGAGCCCAGAATCAGCTGGTCACGAGCTGCCCAGGCGCCATCAGGAAAGTCCCCCCTTCTCCGGTCCCCGGGCACCGCCTGGCTATGGCAGGCGCCCCTCGGAAGGCAGACTGTGTGCATTGGGGCAGTAACCAATGAGTGAGGTCTCTCTCACACCCCGTCTTTTTCATTTGGATGGGGACAGTGAGTCACACACAATAGACAGAAATTGGTTGTGGTTGAGGGCTGCCTCCCAAAGCTCCCCACCCCCCACAAAAAACCCAACCGCCTTCTCCCAAACCTCCCTTCCCGTCACCCATCATCCTCAATCCCTCACTCCCTTTCGCCCCACGTAACCAATTTGGGTTGCCAAAGTCTTCCAGATCTTGTCATTTCTTCATTCTCAGACTCTCGTGCGTACTTCCCCCTCTCAGATCCTACCACCACAGCCCTTGCTCAGGCCCTCGTCACTGCTCACCTCCTGATCAGCCTCCCCGTCTCAAATCTCTCTCCACTCGTCCTCCCCACAGCCCCCCAGACTGACTTTCCTGAAGCATAGGTCCGACCTGGTGTCCCACCCGCCGCTGCCTCTGGGGTCAAATGTGATTTCGTCTTCATCTCATCTTTGGGGATTCCTTTCTCTGTGCAAGATTTATAGTGTACATAATCATCAGTGCAGTGGTACCTGTGTGTAATTTATAAATTAGTATTTAAGCATAAATGAGTATCCCAACACATGTTGGGAGGGAGGTTTCACCGTGTTTCGCTTGCAGCCCAGAGTCACGTTTGTTCTAAGGCTTCCCTTCCTCCCCATGCTCCTGAGCTGGTCGTGTCCTTGAAGCCCGATAAAACACCCCAACTCCCCTTGGCCATGTCGCTGCTGGCCCCCGACCTCCTGCGCTTTCTGTGTTCCAGAGGAAGCGTCCCTGGCCTTTGGTAGCTCTCGGGGTGGTTTCGTCACCCTGGGCTTCCTCTCGGGGTAACTTGTAGCTTATCAGCGTCCTTCCTGACATGGGGCGTCTCCTGGCCGAGGCGGATGACGGCCCCTTTGTTCTGGACTCTGCTTCTCTCAATGCAGCTCGAGTTTCTGTTCTCTTTGGTGACCCGCCGAGTCTCGCGGTTAATTTGTATTCCTTTGGTTATCCATTCATCAAACATTTATTGGGCACCTCTGCGGTGTGCTTGGCCCTGGAGATCCAATATGAAAGATGCCCATCCCTTCCCTCAAGAAGCTCCCATTGTGTGGAGGGGGAGGAATGTGAAGTGAATATAGATAAGCACAGTCCCAGGTAGGGGGTGATGGGGGCAAGGGAGACATCTGGACAAGGGCTTTCTCAGTATTTGGGAAAGAAGGGCATCATATCAGGGAGCGTTACAAAGAGGAGGTCGCCCTGAGCCTTGAAGAGAGAGGCCAAGATGAGCAGGGTGGGTGTCCCCCTCGAAGGTGAGGCGTCTTGGACCCGGCAGCAGACTCCTGACTTTGTCCGCTCAGTGTCTCAGCCCTAGGAGCAAAGAAATCTCATGGAAAACTGGAAGCCCCAGAGAGCAAGGGCTTCTGGGACGGAGCCAGGGCCTCGTGGAACTGGCTGGGGACCTCACTTTCATCCCTCTGTCCCCAGAACCTAGCACAGCGCCTTACAAAAGTCACTGTGAACCTAGCCCACAGGAGCCCAGGTCCCCAGGCACAGACTAGGTATTCAGTGTTTGACATGAATGGATCAGGACAGCCAACTGAATGGGCCGATGACAACGAACGCCCTGTGATACTGCACCAGAAAGACACCCTGCAGTTGGCACAGGTCAATTCATGCACCGCTCTGGGTCTGGTGCCACCAGCCCCAAATCTCCCTCACTTGACTATCAGCCTTCTCCAGGCCTTCCATCTTCTTCCCCCAGGCTGTCACAAGAGGCTTGGCATCATAGAGACGGCGTGGTATGGTGGGAAGAAGGTTAGACACTGAGTCCTAGGTGAAGTTCAAATCCTGGCTTTGTCCCATCCCCCCAGGACTTGGGGGAAGTCATTTATCCTTTATGGTCCTCCATTTCCTCAGCTCTAAAATGGGGAGGCTGATCCAAAGGTCCCTTCTGGCTCTAAACTCTAGGGTCCGATGGGTTTGTCAGATACTTTGCTGAAATCCCAATATTCTGTGGCGTTCTGTTCTACCAGTCTGCAGCAGTTGGAGAATAAATGGAGGGGGAGTCAGGGCACAGATCCACTCTAAATACTGGAAAGGTTTTCAGTAAGCATTCAGTACTCATCGCGCTTCTTCAGTGGTGTTTGGTGCTGGGAGGGATAGAAATACCAACGAGATGCGTTCCCTGCCTTCATGGAGCTTAGCATCTCCCGGGGATCTGGGCGTAGGAACCGCTGGAGCCCGTGGAAGATGGGGGCAGAGCACAGGAGTCATGGGGTCTCGCTTGGTAGCGGGGGTCTGGTGGAAATGGAAGCCAGGAACTGACTCAGGTGGGGGTGGGGTGCTGATGTTGAATTTGAAGAAAGAAGGAGGCAGCTGTTGAAACAAAAGGGAAGGGGAAGGATTTAGAGGGACCTGCAAATGGAAAGTTGAATGAAAAAGAGAATTATTTTAATAATAGTTATTGATAACTTCTGTTTTTCTATCACTCGCATTTCCCAATATTTTCCACCTCTCCCTCCCGGAAAATCATTCCGTATAGTGACGAATGAAAAATGGAGGGGGAAAAAAAAAAACCAGTGCAGTAAAACTACCCAATATGTTTTTTTAAATCTGAGCCTTATACACAATGTTCCATGCACATAGACCTGCACACACATCCACTTCTGCAGAAAAGAGGGAAGAGGTGCCTTCTCCTGTGAGAGAATTTTTTTTGTAATTAATTAATTTCTTTTTAGTTTTCAATATTCAGTTCCATAAGATTTTGAGTCTTAAATTTCCTCCCCCTCCCACTCCTTTCCCCCCCATCAAGATGGTATGCAATCTGATGTAGGCTTTACTTACACATTCATATTAAGCATATTTTCACATTAGTCTTGATGTAGAGAAGAATTAGAACTAATGGGAGGAACCACGAGAATGAAGCAATAAAACAAAACAATGAAAGAAAAGGAGAGCAAATAGTATGCTTCCATCTGCATTCAGACTCCATAGTTCTGGCTGTGGATAGCATTTTCCATCGTGAGTCTTTTGGAGTTCTCTTAGATCCTTGCATTGCTGAGAAGACCTGAATCTATCAAAGTCAGTCATCTCACAATGTGGCTGTTACTGTGTACAGCGTTCTGGTTTTGCTCATTTCACTTAGCATCAGTTCATATAAGTCTTTCCAGGTTTTTCTGAAATCCACCTACTCATCTTTTCTTATAGCACAATAGTATTCCATTACATTCATATACCACAACTTGTTCAGCCATTCTCCAATTGATGGGCATTCCTTCAATTTCCATTTCTTTGCCACCACAGAAAGAGCTGCTATAAATATTTTTGTACAAAGAAGTCCTTCTCCCTGCCCCCCCTTTAATCTCTTTGGGATATAAACCTAGTAGTGGTGTTGCTGGATCAAAGGGCATGCACAGTTTTATAACCCTTTGGACATAGTTCCAAATTGCTCTCCAGAATGGTTGAATCTGTTCACAACTCCGCCAACAATGTATTAGTGTTCCAGTTTTCCCACATCTTCTGCATTTATCATTGTCCTGTTTTGTCATGTTGGCCAATCTGATAGGTGTGAGGTGGTACCTCAGTTGTTTTGATTTGCATTTCTCTAATCAATAGATTTAGAGCATTTTTTCATATGACTATAGATAGCTTTAGTTTCTTCCTCTGAAAGCTGCCTATTCATATCCTTTGACCATTTATCAATAGAGAATTACTTGTATTCTTATAAATTTGACTCCGTTCTCTATATATTTCAGAAATGAGGCCTTTGTCAGAGACACTGGTTGTAAAAATTCTTTCCTCGTTTCCTGCTTCCCTCCTAATCTTGGTTCATTGGCTCTGTGCAAAAACTTTTCAATTTAATGTAGTCAAAATTATCCATTTTGCATTTCATAATGTTCTCTGTCTCTTGTTTGGTCCTAAATTCTTCTCTTCTCCATAGATCTAAAAGGTAAACTATTCCTTGCTCTTTTAGTTTGCTTATAGTATTGGTCTTCATATCTAAATCCTGTGTCCATTTTGACTTTATCTTGGTATGGGGTGTAAGATGTTGGTCTATGCCCAGTTTCTGCCATACATTTTTCCAGTTTTCCCGGCAGTTTTTGTTAAATAGTGATTTCTTATCCCAGAAGCTGGGGTCTTTGGGTTTATCAAATAGTAGATTACTGTAGTCATTGACTACTGTGTCTTGCCTACCTAACCTAACCTATTCCACTGATCCACCACTCTATTTCTTACCCAGTACCAAGCAGTTTTGATGATTGCTGCTTTATGATACAGTTTAAGATCAGGTACAGCTAGGCTACTTTCCCTTGCATTTCTTTTCATTAGTTCCCTTGATATTCTGGACATTTTGTTTTTCTAAATGAATTTTGTTCTTGTTTTTTCTAGGTCTATAAAACAATTTTTGGTAGTTTGGTATGGTGCTGAATAAATAAATTAATTTAGGTAGAATTGTCGTTTTCATTATATTAGCCCAGCCTACTCATAAGCAACTGATATTTTTCCAGTTATTTAGATCTGACTTTATTTGTGTGAAAAGTGTTTTGTGATTGTGTTCACATAGTTCCTGGTTTTGTTTTGGCAGGTAGACTTCTGAATATTTTATGATATCTACAGTAATTTTAAATGGAATTTCTCTCTCTACCTCTTGCTGCTGGGCTTTGTTGGTAATATACAGAAATACGGATGATTTGTGTGGGTTTATACCCTGCAATTTTGCTAAATTTGTTTATTATTTCAAGTGATTTTTTACTTGATTGAGAGAATTATTTTTTAAGTAAACCTGGGTGCCTTAAGTTGGCTCTTTTATTGCAGGTGTTTGAAGTTTAAGAAAGTCTCATGCTTCCCACCTCTCAGCAGAGACAGAGGCTCCAGAGAGGAAGAGTGGGGCTTGTTTTCAGACATAATCAACATTGACTTATTCTGACTGACTACATCGGTTACCGGGGGGGGGGGGGGGGGGGGGCAGTGAGAACCAATGATATATTTTTAAATAGCATCACTAAGACAACCAGAAAGGCTATAACTGGAGGGGGGGTGTCCCCTGCATGGCCTGCAGAGTGCAAGAAGGGACAGACAGAAGAATGCCTAGAGTCGTGTTCCTTCTTTCTCGGAAAGTAATGTCTTCCATAAAGTCTGAAAACATGCAAAATAACTTTGCTTCTTTCTTTTGGATTTTTTTTCTACAGGATCCAGTTTATGGAAGAGGAAAACTTGGCGAGATCCAAGGACTCATCCTGGGAATGTTGGACACCTTTAACTATGAACAAGTAACATTACACATTTCTGAGTTTCTGAATTTATCTGATGCTAGAAACAAACCTCAGCTGATTTTTTTTTTTTCAGTACAGATTTGCTGTTGGGGATTTATTGTGTAGAATGAAAATGAGTGGGGAGGAGGAGGAATCTTTCTCGTTAAACCGTCTGTGTTTGTTTTTTCATATTGTTTACGTAGAGTAATTGGCCTAAAAAAACACTCAGTGACAAAGTAAAAGCTTATTAAGATATGCTCACTTTTCAGTATATATGGTAAGCATCGTGCCTGCACATAGTAAAAACTTGTTGATTGACTGATACATAGTTTAAAATCAGTGGCAAAGGAGACAACTAGACTTTCTACGTTTAAAAATTCATAATTATATCTTCTCAAAAAATAAAGATAGACTGAGCCAGCATCCTGGAAAGTCAGTGAACACCTAATTGATTTTGGCAATTGCAGGGACCCCTAACTCAGGTTTGCCACATTAGATCAGCTTCTCAGTAAGTCCCAGGCGGGGCAGTTCTGGCCCGCAGTAAAGATCTGTCTTTAGTGACTGAATCCAAGACTTTGCTAATGCTCTTTGGCAATGACGGCCATGCCTTAGGAAGTTTAGGGGACCACAGTGGTGGTGCCCTGGGCGCTTTAGTGGGCCCTGGTGGTGGCGCCCTGGGCACTTTAGTGGACCATGGTGGTGGCGCCCTGGGCACTTTAGTGGGCCCTGGTGGTGGCACCCTGGGTACTTTAGTTGGACCACGGTGGTGGCACCCTGGTTGCTTTAGTGGGCCCTGGTGGCAGTGCCCTGGGCACTTCAGTGGGTCCTGGTGGCGGTTTCCTGGGCACTTTAGTGGGTCCTGGTGGCGGTTTCCTGGGCGCTTTAGTGGGCCCTGGTGGCACCCTGGGCACTTTAGTGGACCACAGCGGCAGCACCTGGCCACACTAGGTAACCTATTTGCCTCAAATCTGAAAGAGAAGCTCCCCAGTCTCATGAGTGGTCCTACGCTCCTTGACCTTGAAACCAACCCTCTGTGGCCTAATCTGCTGCTTGAACTGTGTGACCCTGGGCAAGTTCCTCGCCCTCTTGGAGGCCACTCCAAGACCCTAAGCTGCCAAGCAGGCATTGGCGGAGTGCGTTTCTTCCCTGGGAGCACCTCATAACAATGAGTTGTATCCCCTAAAGAAATTAATCGCTGTTCCCCCATTTGTTGGTCCCCCAGTCGTTTCAGTCCCAGACAAATCTTCAGAATCCATTTGGGGTTTTCTTGGCAGAGATATTGGAGTGGTTTGTCACTCCCTTCTTCAGCTCATTTGACAGATGAGGAAACTGAGGCAGACAGGGTCACCCAGCTAGTGAGTGTCTGAGGCCAGATTTGAGCTCAGGAAGATCTTCCTGACTCCGGGCGTGGTACTCTATCCACCGCACCATCTAGCCGCCCTTCGGTGCCCCCGACCCTTCCCTGCAGAGTAGTCACAGATCTGCAGCAGTGATGGGAGCTCTAGACCAGACCAGGCGCTACCTCGCAAGGCTGTTCTGAAGGTCAGATCCTCGTGAACAGGCCCAACGCCATCTGCGTCATGAGAAACAGCATCATTTCTGAGCGTCGGGTCTGGGAAGGACAGGGAGAGACGGGGCAGAGCGGCTGATGACGGCACAGCTGACGTGCTGGGAGCGTCCGGCGGCAGGTGCTGGGGACACAGATGTAAGGAGGCAGCACCAACCACAGGGATGGGCACAGCACACACTGAGAGTGAATAAATGCAGAGCCACAAAATGCTCGAGTCCAGGCTCGTTTCGGGGGACGGAAGGCAGCAGCAGTTGGGGGCTCAGCAGAGACTTCATCGAGAAGATGGAGCCTTAAAGAGGGACCTGTGTGGCAGCAGTCCGAAGGGAGGACATTCCAGGCATGGGGGCTGACCAGTGCAAAGGCTTGAAGATGGGAGGTGGAGGGTCCTGTGCGAGGAGCGGAAAGGCCATTGTGGCTAGACCTCAGTCCACGAGGCCTGGAAAGATACAGGCCAAGCAAGAGTTTATAATTATTCTAGAGGTAACAGGAAGCCCACTGAATTTAGTTGAGTAGGAAAGTCATATGGTCAGACTTGCACGTTGGGAAACTTACTTTGGCCTCAGTGTGTGGGGTGGCCCGGAGGGGGCAGAGACCACGTAGGAGGCTGTTGCAGTCCTCAGTGAGAGGTGGCAGGGGTCTGAATATGGAGGAGGGGTCAGCTGGGAGAGGGGTCAGTGAAGGTAGAAACAGTGAGATTTGGGCATGGGGGTGCGGGAGGGCAAGGAGCCCAGGAGGAGGCTGGGATTATGAAGCCGAGATGCCCTCCCTGGGAGCAGGAAAGTTTGGGAGAAGAGTCGGTTTATGGGGAAACTAATGTTCTGGAGGTGTGAAATTGAGATATGTCTGGGACATTCAGTCTGTCTGCCAGCCGGCAGGGGGTGGGGGATCCAAGATTGGAACAGGGAGAAAGTGACTGGAAGATCTGGGGGTCATCGAGATGATAGGAGACCCCTGGCAGGTGGTCGTATCCAGGAGAGCCTACCTGAGAGGCCTGCAGGACATTCTGGGCATTCAGTCCTTCACGCACTAGTATAAAGTGGATATGGGGGGGGGGAGTGCTGCTTCCCAGCCTCACAGAGAACCCCCGGGGATGACTTCAGTCTCTTCCTGGCCCAGCCCAGGTGAAGCCGGCTCAGGGTATCCTGAGAACAGGGCGGGAAGCAGAGAGCCACAGTGAAGTGACGAGGTCAGACCCACCTTCTGATCTCGTGGTCACTGGGGAGCCTGGAGGCCCCAAGGGCCGGCTCCCGGGCAGGGCCCCCATCTTCTCCCTGGTCCTCCCAGACCTGGCCCCAGTGGCCCCAGTGACTGCCGTCTGGTCTCTTTACAACTTTCAGAGATTCTCAGGGTTTTCACGTAGGAGTTGGCGGCCGTCCCTCGTTTTCTCTGTTTTACTTTCCTGAGCCTGTTGAACACGTCCTCTTTGTCGTCCCTCCCAGACACTCCTGGAAACGACCACCAGCCTCCTGAACCACGACCTGCACTGGTCACTCTGTAACCTGAGGGCGTCGGTCACGCGAGGGTTAAACCCGAAGCAGGATTACTGTTGCATCTGCCTGCAGCAGTACAGGCGGCGCCAGGAGGTGGCCGACGACATCATTGTCTTCAGGTACGTGCTGTCCTGCGCCCAGGCGGGGGGGGGCCCCACATGTCAGTGCCGTGGCTTTGGCCCAGGCCAGAGACGTCTCTGATGAGCTGGGGAGGTCACCCTGAGGAGCACAGCAGGGATAGCCGGCTGGGGGGTGTCTCCCCTGTACCCCGGGAGCCCCCGAAGCCAAGCCGGGCCTCTGGCGAGCAGCGTGGGAGAAGGGGGGAGCCCTTGGGCCATGTGGATCCTTGTATCCCCAGACCTCTGGCAGGGAGGTGCAGTCAGGAGCCACCGGTGACAGATGGTGGTGACTTGTCCACGGTCATGTGGGGAGAGTGTCCTGACTCCCCCATCCCAGCTCAGACCCACCTTCGCCCCGGCCTCAGTGGGGTCTCTTCAGACCTTTCGCAGGTTGGCCTGGTGGGCCTGGGGAGCATGGGGGTCCAGAGCGGGTGACCCAGTGCCTCCGTCTTGCAGCTGTGGCCACCTCTATCACTCCTTGTGCCTGCTCAACAAAGAGTGCGCCGTGGGCACGGGGAGCCAGGCCAGGTGGATGTGCTATCGGTGCAATTCAAGCAACAAAATAGGGAAGCTCGATGAGAACGCCTCTGACGTGAAGAAAGGACAGCTCGCCCAGACGCAGGTAAGAGCCCCGTGGGCCACCGGGGCTCCCGTTGCTTCCCGGTCACCCCCCGCCTCGTTCGATACGTGATGACGCTAAGGTCCAGGGAGGTCGCGGGATCAGACTGAGAACCTGAAGGGGCCTTAGAGGTGGTAGAGTCCAGCTCCTCATGTGACAGATGGGGAAACTGAGGCCCAGAGAGGGGCCCTGACCTGTCTGGGGTCACCCAGCTGCCAGATGCTGGAGCTGGGCCTCCACGCCCTCCCACTCCCCTGACCGCCAGCACAGAAGAGCCGCACCAACCGACCCCCCCCTTCCTGAGAGGACGTGCCCTGGTTGTGGCAGCTGTGACAGCCATGGCGGTCACTGTCCTTTGCATCGCCAGCATTTCCTCAGCAAGTGAAAGCCCTGAGCGAGTCCTTCTCCCCGTCCTGGGCGTCTGGCTTTGCTCCTACACCTTCTTCTCATTGAGCCCGGCCTGTGACCTCGGAGCCCAGTGGGCCCCAGACCGGTGCGGGGGCCAAGGCAGTGGGAGGGCCCCAGCCTGGCACAGACTGTGCTGCCAGACACACTTAAACCTCATCTTATGGGATTTGAACTCTGGGCCTCATGCCCAGATACAGAAAGAACAAGGAAGCATCTTCACCCTCAGGGAGCTTGCCTTCTCCCAGAGCCTGCAGAGGAATACAGGAAAACGGTCCCCTTCCCTCATCCCCCACCTCTTTCACGCGACCTGCTTGGGCAGCCACCATGATCTCACCCAAGCGGGGTGTGCACAGGGGGCCGGCGGCCACGTAGGGTGCCTTCAGCGCTCCTCCAGCAGGACGAGGCCCAGGCCCCTGGGCATGCAAGGCCTGCCTCTCTGTGCAGAGCTGACCAGGCGTGCCCACACCCTCTCTCAGCCCCTCTCCATGGGCTGACTACACAAAGCCAGCCCTAAGCCTCCAGTGGGAAAGCCTCATTTCGTCGGCGGTCTTTGTCTCCCCATTTTCCTAATTCCATTCACGGTGCTCCTAGCTCTTCTGCCAGGCCCAGCCAGGGTTGGCACACTTACACTGGGGCAGTCCTAGAATCATAGATCTAAGAGACCTTCCAGGTCATCTGGTCAGCCGAGCCATGGCTTTTTGATCCAACCCCTCCCATCCCCCAGGGAAGTGACCTGCCCGAGGTCACACCACCAGGAAGTGATAGAGGGCCAGGCTGGCCTTCAAGCTCATGTCACGTGTATCATATTCCTCATAACAGCAAGAGCTGACGTTTGTAGAATTCTTCATAGAGCTTGTTATACATGCAATTCCGTTGGATCCTCTCTCCTCCCCCAGTGAAGGGTGATCCCCGTTTTACAAAGAGTAGCACATCGCCAGCCTCACTGGCATTGACTCCAGGGAGGAATCAGTTCTCTGTACGAGAAAAATAAGGAACCAGTTGATGGTACACACACGCAGAAGCGTGCAGCAGCTCCAGCGTCATCACACACACACCGTCATCACGCTGCACTTGGGCAAACAGTAACTGAGCCTCTTCTGGGGAGGGAGCTGCCCCTCCTGGCACTAAGTGATTGCATTAAGCCATCTCAGCAGCTGGCAAATCCTCTCCAATGGAAAGAGAGCTCCCCAGCCCCAGCCCCAGTGCACCTGGCCCCCTCCCCTGAAGGCGGCCACAGGAGAGGAACGAGCAGGAGAGAAAGGAAGGGAGGGGTTTTCCCCTGGTGGAAAAGGTTGATTTGCTTTCCCATTTTGGTCCAAGGTGTTCCAATTGAAAAAAATTCTCATTTTTCTTGGTGGATATATTTTGAAAATCTTATTCATTGGGAATGATTTAGCTCCTCGAAGTAATTATTTATTCAGTAGATGATGTTTTATTTATAATCTCCAGTCATCATTTTCTGTTAACCATCCATCGTACATTGCTTGGTTTTGTTTTTTTTTATTTCCTGTTCGGGCTAATTTATGATTTTATTTTATATTTATGTAGCCAAGTAGGAATGCTGGTACAGTGTCTGTTTGGGGGGATCTTTCTGCTTTAAAAATCAATAGTCCCCATTATAAACACATTAGCTGGGAAGCGAGGTTTCAGGGCCTGGGAGCGGCAACGTCTCTTTTTGAAAAACACAGAGCAGCCAGAGATGAATGCACTTTCCATTGGGTCTGTCCTCAGATTCAGAAGAGCACAGAGCTGATGGTTTCTTATTGACGTGAGGAGAAGCGCCTTGAGAATACCTTGTCCCTGCCCAAGGCCAGTGTCATGCAACTTGGAGGTACCTGGTACAGATCGGCTGGGGATGAAGAAGTGGGCAGATGGAGGACAGGAGGCCCAGGCAGCCCACCCGCCTGGAGCCCACAGAGTCCATCCTGTGCTCTGCTCCGGGGTCACGGGGAACGGCGGCTGCTTGAACTCTTTTGGAAATGGGATTGAGGCGTGCCATCCTTTCACCCTGAGAGTGAAGGAAGTGCCAGGATGCTTCTCTAGGGAATTCTTTACTAAGGTACAGGCTCTAGTCTCACTTCAGACAGAGACTTGCCTTTGACCACCAGCCAGGTGAACATGGGCCAGTCCTCGCCTCGGTTTCCTCATCTGTAAAGCGAGAGTCCAGGCCAGATGCTGGTTCTCTCCTTAGCACTCTATGATTCTTTATTGGCGTCTCTGTTCAGACAGTGAGGGGACAGCAGGCTGGGCCCAGAACTGAAGAGCAGAGCAGGCTGGATGCCTTCAGGAATGAGACAGCAGCCTAGCTCAGTGGAAGGACCCTGCAATCTGGGTTTGGATCCCCCTGCTGGTGCTTGCTACCTTGTAGGGAAAGTCACAGGACCCCCCTGGGCCTCCTTGTTTTCTTCAGCTGTAGAAGGAGGGGGCTGGACGTGACGCCTTGAAGTCCCTTATAGCTCTCAGTCCCAGATTCTGTGACTTTGTAAGTGACCCTAAGCCTTGCCGATCACACAGTGCTCAGCCCTGGCTCCTGAAAACCACTGCTGACTGGTGCCACCACCTCATGCTCGAAGTGGGATGGACTCAGGCCAGATGGACGCAGGATTTCTGGTCATGGCCAGTGTACCGATTCGCTTGCCTGGGCCTATTTGATGCACGCATTTGCTTTTCTTTTTTCTCCCTCAGTGGGGAAGAGGGAGAAAAAATGGGTTTTGGTGGATGGAATTAATGTTTTTTGAATGACCCCAAGCTTCTCCCTACAACAAAGGCCCCTCTTCTTAACGCCGCTCCTCTTTTGATGATTTTGTATGAATCTCACAGTCTCTGAGAAATTAAAATGGAATATCTACAGAAGACCATCGAAAAGCCTGTGGTAGGCATAGAAATCAGGCTGAGACACGTTACCAGCCACAAGCCTTGCAGAAACAGCAGCAGAAAGGATTTGTCCGGGGAGACATATGGGCAAAAGAAGTATCCAGGTCCCCAGTCACAGGGCAGGCAACATGCAAGTGTGTGTAAAAATAAGTTACATCCAAGACAAATGGGAAATAATGAACAGAGAGTTATTGTGAGGATCAATTGGGACAACAGTTATAAAGCGATTAGCTCGGCCGTGGCACAGAATAAGTGCTGTGAAGCTTACAGCTGTCATTTTTATTATGATTATCCCGAGGTGTTTCCTAGAAGAATCCCAGTAGGTAGAAGATGGGCTTTTCTGAGGGACGCCTGAGAGCTTGAGCCTCCAGACTGTTAACTCTCTCTGCGGTTACCTGGGACCTTCGTTGTCCAGGCTCACATCTGTCTCTAGGCTCATTGGTGTTATAGGTCTGCAGATTTCGTGTTCATTGTACTTTAAACTGAGCTGTTGATTTGGGTGGGAGTCTGTGAGGAGATGTGGAGCTCTTCCAGCGAGCTCCTCGACCATCTGGAGACCCTTGGCCCTCAGCAACAGTCTGGGCAGACGACGGTTTGAGTCCTGGCTTCCAGACAGCATTCGAAAAAATAAATAATGATCATTATCCTTAAAATTCCACAGAATTAAGTAGGGTAATTCTACTGAATATGCTGGATTTGAATGATGTGCAGCATTCTAACCAGAACATGTAAGAGGACAACCAAGAACCTGGGTCCAGGGATGAGGGCTGAAGGCACGCCCTGGCTTCCAGTCCCGACTCTGCCTGTGGAACCTTGGGCAAGTCATTTGCCCTCTAAGACCTAGAGATGAGTCTAAGTGAGCTCACTCATCTTGAGTCTCATGTGTAAAGTATAGAGCATTTCCTCAAAACAACTCTGAGGTACCACCTCACACCTATCAGATTGGTTAACATGACAAAACAGGACAATGATAAATGTTGCAGAAGATATGGGAAAATTGGAACACTAATGCATTATTGGTGGAGTTGTGAATGGATCCAACCATTTTGGAGAGCAATTTGGAACTATGCCCAAAGGGCTATAAAAATGTGCATACCCTTTGACCCAGCAATAGCTCTTCTAGGGCTATATCCTAGAGAGATCATAGAAATGGGAAAAGAACCCACATGTACAAAAATATCGATAGCAGCTCTTTTGGTGGTGGCCAAGAATTGGAAATTGAGGGGATGCCCATCCATTGGGGAATGACTGAGCAAGTTGTGGTATATGAATATGGAGATCATATAAGTTCTTTTTGATGAAGTTACCTAGATAATTTTGTTTGGGGATCTGTGATTACCCAATAGCCAGTGAGGCCTCAAACCTAGACCGACGCTTCGCAAGGTATTTGCTGCTTTGTCAGGAAGTCCCAGTGACAGGGCTTCCTGCTAGAAGATGTGAAGGCTGCCCAGAAGAGATCGTGTAAGCACATGACACGAGAAGAATGGGGTCCAGGAAGGGTCTCCACTGAACAGAGGAAGGAGAATGATGATGGGCCCATTGCCCTCCCACCTCGGGCCAGGAGCATGGCCCTGCTTCTGCGCGTAAGCAATGATCCGACCCCCCTGGCTCACTCTGGAATAAGAGGAGACTGGACCAGATGCAGAGTGATCCCCAGCCGCTCCTTCACACGCAGCCCCATTTATGAAACACAGCATTCTCCCCATAGGGCTGCATGGCGACACATCCTGGAGCATCCCTGTGTCTGAAGGATCGGGATTGTGGCCAACAAAGGCAGTGGAGAGATCAAGGATGGCCCCATGGGCCAGCCACTGTGCTGGGATAAAGAGGCTCCCTTCCACTGGGGCAGGGGTGGGAAATAGGCCATCTCCTGTAGGGGAGCGGTAGCCAGAAAGCGGGGTTTTGGAGGGTTCGTTTGACTCTTCCTCTCAGAGCTCGAGCAGCCACGGGTGAGGGGCGCTACTGAGGACGTGGTGGGCTGGAGGCTGAGTTCCCTGGCATCTGAGCCCTGCATTGCTGTTTCTGCAGCTGAAGAGTGTGGCCTCCTGCAAACAAAGACCTTGGTCACTGGAACTGTTGCCACACCATTTTCCTTCCCTTCTCCCATCCTGGATTTGTGAGATTTATCTTTTTAGTTTAAATGCCAGATGTTTATATTTACCCCTGCGAAATTTCCGTGTTTTTAATCTGGGCCCAGCACTCTAGCCTGACAAGGTCATTTTTAATCCTGACTTCAGCAAACATTTGTGAGGCTCCTGCTCCCCACCAGGCCCTGGGGCTGCTAAGAGAACTAAGTCAGTCCCTGCTGACCAGTCAGCTAAGTCAGTCCCGTCCTCCTGGAGGGGTCCCGTCGGTGGAGGCGAGCAGATCTGGGGCATGTGGTTCGAGAGGGAGGGGGCCAGAGCAGCTGTGCCACGCGTCAGGGACGGCTTGCACAGAGGTCCGTCTGGCTGCAATAGAGTCAAGAAATAAGACTGAAAGGAACTCACAATCTTTGAGACTCCCCCAGTGCTTAGCATGGTGCAGGCTCGTGTTTATTGGATTGGATTGATTACTATAGCAGCAGTTACGTAGAGCTTTGAGTTACTAAGAGCCACTCATCTAGTGTCTCACGTGGTCCTCACCACAGCTGTGTGAGGCAGGTGCTATTCTTGTGCCCATTTTACAGATGAGGAAACTGAGGCTGAAAGACCTGATAAGTACCTGAGGCAGGATTTAAACCCTGGCCAGCATTCTCCCCACTGAGAGGTTTGACTTTATCTTCTGGACAGTGGGGAGCTATGGAAGATCTTTGAACGTGGGTTTGGGGGGGGAGGGGGAATGACGTGGGCAGGTCAGAGAGGGGCTGGCTGGAGGCGAGGAGACCAGTTAGGAGGTAACCTGGAAGATGGTGTGGAATGGAGAGCAGCAGCAGGGTTCCTGTTTTGTGCTTTGTGACATTAGTCATCCATTTTAGTGCGGTGTTCTCTGAAAAACTGGTGTGCACCTCCCAGACTCCTCTGGCTGTCCATTAAAAGGTGATGCTAAGAATGGTAATAGCCAGTGCTAGTCCAGGAGAAGAGGTAAAGAAACGTGCCCTCCTCCTTCCTCTGGATGGGTTGGGGCTGAAGGCACAGTATGTTCTGTATGCCCTAGCACGTGCTCCTCGGGAACACTGGTTTTGCTGAACCATTTGTCTTTGTTATAAGAGACGGCCCCCTGGGTGGGGTGGGGTGCCTAGGAAAGGGACTGTGACTGTGAAAACAGAAGTCATCAGTAAAGCCACCGCATGTGGAGACCGCCGTCCAGACTGTCAGCCAGCTCCATTTAGCCCCAGCCCCTTCACTGACACCTTTCTGAATCTAATGCTCCTGGGTTTCCTCCTCTGCTGGTGTCTCTGATCTCTCGAGCTCCACAGGGCTCCTATGGCCCTTGGGCCGTTTGTGTTTAATGCAATATATGTAAATTGCTTTGGGGGAAATGTCTGTATTGTCTCAATTACCCTTGTTCTCCCCAGATTCCTTGAGTTTTAGTCATAGAAACCTGACATGTAACAAAACTGTCCTTGGTTTTTGTAGGTGAAGATGTCTCCTTCCTGCTCTTCACCCCGAGGAGAGTCTGCTGCCAAAAAGGTAGGCGCACTCTCTTTTTCCATTCCTGGAACTTCCTCTTCCATCAACTTAATGCCCATGTCCTTAACAATTACACTTGGCTTGTTCATGGAAATTCCATATGACATTAAGCAAAGCCAGCCACCATCCCAGGCTATTTCCCCGTTAACTGTTTTTGCAGCACATGCATGTGAGGCTGGTATCAAAAAAAAATCACAAAAGCAAAAAAGCTAAAAAATAGTTAAACACTTGGGGCTTTGTTTCACTGCCATGCTTGATGTATGGTGACTTCATGAATATCAAGTAATTCATTTTCACTGCAGCTCTACTTGTACATTTGTTCTGAAGTCGCCTAGACCATTTAAATACAAACAAAATGAGCATAGCAGAAATAATGAAAGCGAACAGCGGGTAACTTTACAAATCATGGAAGGTGAACTGTTTCTGCCCTTCTCCCGAGTAAATTGGGTTAAAACTTTGTCTTAAAGAACATTTTTGCAACTGCACTCTTAAAGGTGTACACGTTGAGATTGTGTGTTCCAGTGATACACACAGAATGACATAATATCTATGGGACATGTATCCACCGGAGCCTTAAGGGCTCCAACCCTAAAGTACTCACAATAACTATACCTGTAGCTAAAACCAATTATCCCTTTCTCCCCCAATCATGACAGGCCAATATGGAGGCAGTTTTCTTTGCTTAGACATGGAAGCTGTTTTAACACCAGCCTTGTGAAATCACAATGGACCAAAAGTACCAAACATGTATAAAAATTCCATATCCCCATATTGGCCACCTCAGATGAAAACAGATAACTCCCCAAATATTAACTGGCTCCACTCCCCTAATCTTAAAATAAAAACCACATGGGAAATACAGAAATCCAAATAGAAGAAACATAAACCTGTCATAAATCATAAGCAGAAACCATTTGTGGGACAGCCTGGATGACAAATGGTCATTTTGGAACGAGGCAGACAAAAGCTGCCAGGCTGGTTAGCTCTGCCCTCCTCCTCCTGCTTCAGCGTCAGCTCCTCGGGTGTCCGATGTCCACAATGTCAAGTTGTCTCTCAGTAATTGCATTCTTAGTGCGCTGTCTTTGTGTGATTTTTCATTAACGGATCAAGTTCAACAGTGGCTCATCCGAAGCTGTCTTTGCAAGGGAGCAGGCTTTGTCTGGAGAGTTCAGGATCTCGTAACAGGACACAGAAGTTCACAGCCAGACCCAGTCTCGTTGGATGGGTTGGTTGCATCTCCTTTTTGCTGATTTCAAACGCTTCTTGATACACTTGTTGGGATCAATCCACTCTTCCTTTCTTAGTCATCACCAGCCACAAGCTCAGCCAAAGAATGGCGGTCGTCTCCTTTCCTTTTCTAATAGAAAGCTTTGCTTTCTGCTTGCGAAGCGTTAGGAATCGAGAACTTTCCCACAAGAGACAGGGCATCATTGCAGACATCTCTTGGTTCAGTCTCAGTTCTCTCTGTATTCTCAGGCCGTCTGCTGGTTTTTCTCAGCACCTTCCGTCTTTTGCTCAATACTTGAAACAGCCCTCCAAGATGTCCTCCAGGCCCCTATGACATCTTTGTAAACAACAGAGAGAAGATTTCTCTTCTCGTTGGATAATTCAGCTCCTTGCTCAGTGACAGACTTCATGCAGGCTGCCATGGCAGCGTGTCTGCCGGCCTGTTGAGAGCCTTCTGCACCAGCTCGTTTTTATCCATGACTGAATATTCTGCACCTGGAGCGAGTGATGGCGGGTGGATGCAGGGGAGGTTCAGCGGTCTCTGGGCAGCGACAGTGGTGGCGGGGGGCTGAAACTGTCCTGTGCCTCTTGGCTCCAGCAGCTCCAGCCACTCCACCCTCACTCTCTTTTTCAAACCATAAAGCAAGTAGCCAATGTTCCTTGGATTTCAGAATCATCCTGTCTCTCCTGTCCCCATTCATCTGTTTTGTCTCTTATGTTAAATTTTGTGTCAAGTGACAGCAGTTTTGTAAATTGCCCGAATCCTATCCAAGGTGCCCAAATAGAAGCCTCTTTCTCAGGTCTTCTCCTGTGCCTTTTCTAACTCACTTACAGTTTCATAATTCACCATGACACATGCCTGCTACACGTTTGCATTCAAGGCACTGTGCCTAGGTGCTGGGGCAAAGATAAAAACAAAATATGGCCTGCCCTCAAGGGGCTTATGTTCTCCTGGGGGAGGGCAGGAGGGCAGAATACGGTATGTGCACAAGGAAGTAAAACCAAAGCTTATGCAAAGTCATTTCTGAAAAGATAAAGGTCATAATCCCTGGGAGCCAGTGTCAGAGCTGCGCTTTGGGGTTTGTGAGGGAGGAGGGAGCACATTCTAGACATGGGATGTCACAATGGGGCACACGGGGCCGGCCACATGAACTGGAAGGGAGGGAGGAAGATGACATAAGCCTGGCCAGGGGAGGGTGGATTGGAGAGGGGTAGGCGAGGGGCAGAGAAACCCCTTAGGAAGCTATTGCAGTCACTCAGACAAGACATGACACAGATCTGAACTAGGGGAGAGGTTGTGTGAGTAGAGAGGAGAGGATGGAGGGTGGTGGAAGAAGTAGGGTCAGTAAGACTCGGCAATTGATGGGACATGAGGGGAGGAGAAAGAGAAGGAGAGACAAGGAGGAAGGGAGAGGGGAAAGGGAGGGATGGAGGATGAGAGAGAGGTCAGTAAGGGATGTTGAAGTGGGGGATGGAGGGGGGATTAAGAATTTAATTTTAGCTCTTTTGAGTTTGCAAGCCTGTGAGACAAGAGAGGTCCAGTAGCAGTGCCTCGAGAGAAAGGCAGAATCAAGAAGTGACGCTCTGGGCCAGACATGTACTGTAGGCGGTAAGGAAAGAGTCTGTGAATAAGGAGAGATCAAAGATAAAAGAAAGACAGGGTGAGTGAGCCAGGCTGCTCCAGAAGGAGAAGGGCTCGAGAGCCCCCGCGGCCTGTTCTCTGAGACGGCGCGGAGGAGAAGAGGACGGGGATGAAGGAGAAGAGGGAGCTCCCAGCAGACGGCCTCTGTTTTCTCAGCCAAAGGAGGAGGAGAGGGCTTCTGCATGTAGGAGGCCTGAGGGAGGCTCAGAATGACTGAGGCAGAGAATGCCAGGGAAGAGTAAAAGGACAGACCAGATCAGGGCCCGTTTGAGATTTGGGACACTCCAGCAAGGTTCAGTAGCACATGAGCAGGAGCTGGTGGGGATAACCCAGGGTTTGGGTTTGGAAAGGTAGGAGTGAAGGTAAGATTAAGGGGCGAGGGAATGAAAGGTAAGTGATCATGGGTTGAACTGATCAACTCAAGGGTCAGAAGGGAAGGGAGGCCAGAGCAGGGAGGGGCGGAGGGCCTCGAAGTCATGGGGAGGACAAAGGGTTGGTGTGGGGCATCTGGGGCAGAGAGAGAGAGACTGAAGGATGGGAGAGTCCCAAAGAACAGGACCCTTGGAGGTGCTGGTCACACAAGGCTGGCACCGTCTGTGTGTGGCTGACAAGGAGTGAGAGTTGGGAGGGCCCTCAGTGGGCGTCCAGTCCACACCATACCTGAAAAAGAATCCTTCCCAGCCTCCCCAACAAGCGCCATCGAGCCTTTGCTTCACGGAGGCCAATGAAGGAGACGCCCCCCGCTCCTAAAGTGGCGCGTTCCACTTTGGGAGACAGATTTTGGGAAATTCTCCCTGGCCTCAAGCCTGAACCTGCCTCTTTGCAGCTTCCTCCCCTCTTCCAGTTCTGCCTTGGTAGCCACGCAAAACCATTTGAATCCCTTTTTCGTGTGACGCCTATTCCTTATACTCCCCCACAATCCAGCCATGGTGGCCTTCTTGCCGTCTCTCACACACAGCAGTCCTTCCCTCCCTCTGCCTTTGAACTGACTGTGCCCAGGCATGGCATGTTCTCCCTCACCTCGGCCTCTTAGGAAGCCCTCCTTCCTTCAAAGACTCAGCCCCAGGCCCTCCAGGAGCCCTTCCCTATCCCCTCAACTGCCCTGGAGCGCCTTCCCCCCTAATTCTACCATCCATCCATCCATCTCTGCATGGATCTGGCATGTATCATTTCTGTACACGGTGTCTCTTTCATTAGAACGTGAGCTCCTAGCTAAAATGTGAATAGAATTCACTTGGAGGAACAAAAGATCTAGAATACCGAGGGAAATAATGAAAAAAGGCAGGAATGAAGGAGTCGTCGCACTTTCGGACCTCACACCACATTGTAAAGCAGCAGTCGTTAGAATCATTTGGTGTCGATTCAGAAATAGAAAAGTAGATCAGTGGAACAGACAAGGAAAAACTAGAAATCACTGACCTCAGCAACCCAGTGTTTGATAAACTCAAAAGCATAAATTACACAGGAAGGAATTTCCTGTTTGGGAAGAATTACTGAAAAACTTCTGGAAAAGCAGTCTGGCAGAAATTAAGCCAGGACCAGCATCTTACACCACGTTCCACAATATATTCGCCTCTCTCTTTGATTGTGGAGCTGGAGGGCAGAGCAATGAGCTCCTCCCAAGACCCCCCTTTTTAGAGAGCCCAGGCTTTCCCACTGACTTATTTACCATCAGCTGCTTCACTTGGTATAGACTGGAACCTCATGCCCCTGGGCCAGGCCCTTCCTTTTCTGTGTGATCTTCCCCATTAGACTATAAGCTCCTTGAGGGCATGAATTGTCTTTCCTTTTCTTATTTGTAGCCCCAGCACTTAACACAGTGCCTAGCACATCGTAAGCACTTAATAAATCTTTATTAATTAACTGACTGAGGAGGAAAGGCTATGACAAGAGTGGTCCCAGGTCTTTGGCCAGCCATGGAACTAGGGGAAGGAGAGTTCAGTGGTGCCATGATGGTCCTATGGAGAGGCAGCTGTTCCCCAGTCTTGGGGCTCCCAGCATCAGCTCCAATGTGGTCCTTCCTCCTAATTACTGTGGAAGTGGCTGGGCTTTCATCTCCTCTTCCAGCCCCCCCATAAAGGATGGGAACAGGGCTGCAGGACAGCCTTCCCCCATCCCATTCAAGCACAGC